TGTTTACACAGAAAATTCCAAGAATCTGCAAAACAACTACTAGAACTAACAGATAAATTTAGCAAGTTGACAGAACACAAGATCAATACTATAAAAATCAATTGCATTATATATATCAGCAAACAATTGGAAATAAATTATTTTTAATTTCAAATTTCAATAGCATCAACATAAAATAGCAACAACATAAAAAACTTACGAATAAATTTAACAAAGTCATATATGACCTCTATGCTCAAAACTGCATAATGTTGCAGAAAGAATGTCAAAAAGTTAAATTAATAAAAAGATATAACCATGTTTACAGGTTGTTAGTCAATATTGCTAAGTCATCCATTCTCCATCCATCAGACTGACCAGTAGATCCAATACAATCCCAATCAAAATTTGAACAGACTTATTCTAGATATAGCATAAGAAGTGAACAGGAGAAGGTGATTCTAAAACCTATATGAAAATGTAAAGGACCTAAATAATGCCCAAAATGACCTTGAAAAATAAGAACAAATTTAGATGTTTCGTACTATGTGATTTCAAAACTGACTGTAAACTTATAGTAGCCAAGCAGGGTGGTATTGACATAAAAATAGACAAAATAGGGGCACCTGGGTGGCTCAGTCAGTTAAGCTCCTGTGACTCTTGATCTCAGCTTAGGCCATGATCTCATGGTTCATGAGATCGAGCCCCACACTGGGCTCTGCACTGACAGCACAGATCCTGCTTGGGATTCTTTCCCTCTCTCTGTCCCTCCCCTGCTTGTGCTCTCTAAACAAACAAACAAACAAACAAAAAGAACCCAGAATAGACGAAGGGATAGAGAATCCAGAAATAAACTTACATATTGTCAACTGATTTTCAACAAAGCCACCTTGTCAAATCAATGTAGAAAGGAAAGTCTTTTTAACAAATGGTGCTGGAACTACTAAATAAATGTATGAAAAAAATAAATAGTGAGCCATATCTCACACCATAAAAAAAATTAACTTGAGGGGCACCTGCATGGCTCAGTCAGTTGAGTGTAGGATTCTTGATTTCAGGTCAGGCCATGATCTCACACAGTTCATGGACTTGAGCCCCATGACGGGCTCCAGCCACTCTGGCAGTGCACAGCCTGCTTGAGATTCTCACTCTCCCTCTCTCTCTGCTCCTCCCCTGCTCTCTCTCAAAATGAATAAACTTAAAAAAATTTTTTAAAGAAAAATTAATTTGAGATGGATCATAACCTCAATGTAAAAGCAATAATTGTTAGTCTTCTATAAGAAAACATAGAAGAGCTTTACGACCTGAAGTTATCCAAAGGTTTCTCTTTTTTTTTAAGTTTATTTATTTACTTTGAGAGAGAGTGGGGGGTGGGGGGAAGAGCAGAGAGAGAGGGAGAGAAAATCCCAAGCAGGCTCCACACTGTCAGCATAGAGCCCAGTGTGGGGCTTAGTCTCACGAACTGTGAGATCATGACCTGAGCCAAAACCAAGAGTCGGAGGCTTGACCGACTGAACCACCCAGGCACCCTTATCCAAAGATTTCTTAGATAAAACATGAAGAACACAAAACATAAAATAAGATTTGATAAATTGTATTTCATCAAAAGCAACAAGTTCTGCTCATCAAAAGGCACCATTAAGAAAATGAAAAAGCAAGGCTCAGACTGTGTCCAGAATACATAAAGAACTTGTACAGATTGTTAACAAAAAGACTAACAACCCAATAAAAAATGGGCAAAATACTTGAGCAGACCCTATGCATCCTTAGTCATCAAGGAAATGCAAACTAAAGCTGCAGTCAGATTCCATTCCATACCTTCTGCTAGAATTTAAAGGACAGATAACACCACATCCTGGCAAAGATGTAGAGAAATTGGAACTCATATATTGCTAGTGGAAGTATAATAAAAACAACTTTGGAAGATTGTTTGGCAGTTTTTTATGAAGGCAAACACTTTTAGCATATCACCCAGAAATTCCATTCCTAGGTATTTATCAGGCAAAATAAAAACATGTCCACAAGAAGACTTGTCAATAATATTTGGAGCAGCTAAAGCTGCTCAGTATAGCCCCACACTGGAAACACTCCAGATGCCCATCAATAGGTGAATGTAAAGGCAAGCTGGCATGCCCACACACTGGAGCGCTACTTAGCAACAGAAGGAAACATACTGCTGATACACACAACACCGGTGGTCTTAAAGATGTTATGTTGTGCAAAAGAAGCCAAGCACAAAAGGTACACACTGCAAGGACAGACAAACCTAATGTAAAGTGATAGAATTCAGAACAGAGTTCACCCTTGGAAGGGTGGGGTGGGGATGGGCTGGAAGGAGGCAAAGAGATTTTTAGAAGATGCAAACATTCCATATCTTGACTGGGGAGGTAACTACATGGGTATATATATATTTATCAAAACTAATGGAAGAATACACTTAAGATCTGTACATTTTGCCTTTTTCTTTAATAAATCAAAAAAGGAGGGACCCCTGGGTGGCTCAGTCAGTTAAGCGTCCGACTCTTGGTTTCAGCCCAGGTCATGATCTTGTGGTTTCATAAGGTCAAGCCCCGCATTGGGCTCTGCACTGGCAGCATGAGGCATGCTTAGGATTCTCACTCTCCCTCTCTCTCTGTGCCCTGCCCCAACTTGCACTGTCTCTGTCTCTCTCAAAATAAATTTAAAAAAATCAAAAAAGGAATTTTTTTATTTTTTTTCAATATATGAAGTTTATTGTCAAATTGGTTTCCATACAACACCCAGTGCTCATCCCAAAAGGTGCCCTCCTCAATACCCATCACCCACCCTCCCTTCCCTCCCAACCCCCATCAACCCTCAGTTTGTTCTGTTTTTAAGAGTCTCTTATGCTTTGGCTCTCTTCCACTGTAACCTCTTTTTTTTT